GAAGTTGTGGTGAGCCAAGATTGTGCCATTGCACTCCAGCCTGGGCAACAAGAGCGAGACTCCATCTCAAAAAATATAAAAAAAAGAGATCGAGACCATCTTGGCCAACATGGTGAAGCCTCATCTCTACTAAAAATACCAAAAAAATTAGCTGGGCAAGGTGGTGTGTGCCTGTAGTCCCAGCTACTCGGGAGGCTGAGGCAGGACAATCACTTGAATCTGGGAAGCAGAGGTTGCAGTGAGCTGAGATCACACCACTGCACTCCAGCCTGGCGACAGAGTGAGACTCCGTCTCAAAAATAAATAAATAAATTTATAAAGAGCTGAAATGGCCTGGAGCGGTGCATCAGAAACCCCAAATCTTCAGATTCCAGAGTTCAATTGGAACCAGATGAGGAACAGGACAAAACTTACTATGGCCTGACAAGGAAGGACTTTGACACCGTGAATCTCCACGCCATTCCATCCTGCAGGGACACTGGGGCGGGGGGTGGGGGCAATGTGCACATGACATTCATGAGCAAATTAGCCTGTAAGGAGCCTCTGCAGACATTACATTTTACCAGCCATATTTTCTTTCTTTCTTTTTTTTTTTTTTTTTGAGATGGAGTCTCACTCTGCTCACCCAGGCTGGAGTGCAGTGGCGTGATCTTGGCTCACTGCAACCTCCACCTCCCAGATTCAAGCGATTCCCCTGCCTCAGCCTCCCTAGTAGCTGGGACTACAGGCACCTGCCACCACGCCCAGCTAATTTTTTGTATTTTTAGTAGAGACGGGGTTTCACCATGTTTCGATCTCCTGACCGTGATCCTCCCACCTCGGCCTCCCAAATTGCTGGGATTACAGGTGTGAGCCACTGCACCCGGCTCCAGCCATATTTTCATAATTCACTGTGATGAGCTAAGAAAGTGATGAGGCTCTTTGGAACAAAATCTTTTCCATAAAGTTGTTCACTCTTTGGGGGATACAGGAAGCTGCTTCTTTGTTAAGCTCTGTTCGTAATTATAAAACACTCCTAATTCCTCAGGCTTACTTTATGGCCACAAGCAATCCTGCCCTGCTAACGGCTATTTGGCGCCCTGCGATCAGACAGGGCCTAACTTGGCAGTGGCAGGTGTCAGAGAAAGAATAGCTTCTGTAAATCGTCCAGTTCTAACTGGACCCTGTTAAAACATTCGGCACACCTTTACCCACTTTAAAAACTTTACTCCACAAACATATGCAGCTTTGAAAGTTTTATGCCAGGCAGGGTGCAGCGGCTCATGCCTGTAATTATCAGCACTTTGGGAGGTGGAGGCGGGCAGATCACTATCTGAGGTCAGGAGTTCCAGACCAGCCTGGCCAACATAGTGAAACCCCGTCCCTACTAAAAATACAAAAATTAGCTGGGCATGGTGGCGCA